TCAACTCTAAAAAAAAAAGCAGCAGAATTCTAAGGAGAAAGGAAAAATTATTGAAGAGAAAGGAAAAACTATTAAAGAGAAAATTTTTCCAGAAGCAGGGGGAGCTTACACACCCCCTTTAGCCACGGCACTGAGTTTTCAAGATGTCGCTTAAATGCAGTTTTCTAGAGGGCACTTCGTACTATATCTATCGAAAAAGGTTGGCCTATTTCTATGTCCTTTTTCAGAGATGCAAACTGATTTTCCAAAGCTCCTCTGAAAAACCGGCTTCGGAAAATGTTTCAAAAACCGATTTTACTTATGGAAATGTACCGTCGAGTATCTAGTTTGCAATACTGAAAATCGCAGATTTTTATCATGTTCTATCAACAGTTATTCAAAAACAACCGAGGTCACTGTTCATTTAGATGGACAATAGTAGGAATGATTTTATACAAACAATGCCTTTTTATTATTAACGTGTGATGAAAAATCTTCACTAAATAAAATAATTAACTCCTTGCCGTTATAATGCATCGTTGTTTAGTGTAATTTTTTATTGGAAACTGGCTACTCCTAGACTCACAAAATATATGAATTGTTTCTTTTTCTGCAAGAAACTATTTCAGTTTTAATAAACGGTTTAATTCATCTTTAAACTAAAAAAAAGTCATTGTTTTAAAATATTTTCTTCTATGATGATTCTTAAACACATTTAAAGTCAGCAAGAAAAGGCTGCGAAGTGTAGTTGTTTTTCAGAAATAACTTTTTTCCATGTTTACACTTTAAAATAAATGCAATGTATCACATGGTATGTAATCTTTCAAGTCGATTCAGTCCAAAAAGACGCGCAATACTTTTAAAGGTGCAAAACGCGAAGAACAGAACAAAAATTCAAATTATCACTATTAGTGTATGAGAAAAACGTGACTCGATCAAACAGTAATTCGATTCACACTGATATGGTATTCTAGTATGACCATCATACTGATTATTCTTTATGAGTACAGTAATTGTCCAGTGTCCTCATTTAAAGCAATTCTCTAGAAAGTGCTGATTCTTGAACTTTTTCTGCACACTTACGAAGAAACCTATCCAAGTGATACCATCCGATTTCGTTCATTCATACGTCAACCAATAAAGGGTATTGAACTAGTAAAAAGACTAAAAAGGAATTTTTCCCATGACTCTTGAAGGTCCGGTTTTTCAGAAACTCTGAACTGAAAAATAACCAAAATCTTTCGTAATGAGACATAACTGTAGCCCGCAACTTTTTTCTGATTGAAATGAGACATCTCACAGCTCTACACGACCTTTCTTTGCAAACTTAAACAATTTACAAGAACAGCCCTAAATTAATTTCTTCTTATTTCTGTATCTTTGAGCCATGACAATGAACATTTAGGGCTTTTCTTGTAAATTGTTTAACTTTGCAAAGAAAGGTCGTGTAGAGCTGTGAGATGTCTCATTTCAATCAGAAAAAAGTTGCGGGCTACAGTTATGTCTCATTAAGAAAGATTTTGGTTATTTTTCAGAGTTTCTGAAAAACCGAGTCTTCAAGAGTCATGAGAAAAAATCCTATTAGGCTTTTTACTAGCTCGATATGCTCTATTGATCGATGTATAAACGAACGAAATCGGAAGGTATCACTTTGATAGGTTTGCTCGTTATCAGAAACAGCATGTTCTAGAACTTTGACGTAATTTTCATTCTAACAAATCAGTTCAGTTTATCTCTCCAAATTTCGAATATCAAATTACACAACATGCAGATGATTTATAGATATTACATAAGAATATGTCAACTTTTATCATTTATGAAGAAATCTTTTGTATACTTTACTTCACCTCTGACACATGAGTTTACATATTTTTTTTTAATAACTTTTTGTAATAACTTCTCCATATTTCTTTCTCAATTCTTTATCAAATACAAAATAACAACGCAAGTATCGTCATCATCATCATTTGCCAAATTTATCTTACGTTTAATCTACTATTAACTTGTGTCGGATATGTTGTTAATTTTCCTAATTTTTTCACTATTACTAAATTTAAATTTGGGCTTAAACATTGATCAATATGTAAAAGACATTGAAGAGTTAAGTCTCGATGAAAAATTTGTTGAAGACTATTTTCAATGGTCAGTTGGCCTATTTTCTCAACCCGACTACCTATACGGTACTCCAATGGAATTTCCATGTAGTATAGCATCATCAAATATGACGTCATCAATAGCTCAAGATGTTCATCATCTACGACCATCAGACGTCAAATGTATCGGTGCCATGGGAGATTCATTAACGGCTGGACTCGGAGCTCATGCATTGACTGTAATTGGACTGTTGACAGAGAACCGTGGTCTGTCATGGTCTGTGGGTGGTGATCATTCGTTCAACAGGATCCTATCATTACCAAATATAATTAAAAAATACAATCCAAATTTAGAAGGTTATTCAACAAAATTTTCAGTAATTTTTCTAAACGGACAAAATGCAACAACTAATAAATTCAATGTTGGTAAGAACCATAGATTCTGTTCTCTGAGTTTTAATTTAGGCATTTTGATTTCAAAATTTCTCGCGTTCAAATAATGAAATTCTGATTAAAAAAAAATACTTTATATACGTCAAAATTATAGAATGTCCAAAAAACTGATTTTGTCTCATTTTAGCTAAATCTGGTGATCGTTCCTATCACATGCCTTATCAGGCACAACTTCTTTTAGAAAGAATTAGAACCGATGAAAAATGTAACTTTGAAAACGACTGGAAAGTAGTTACATTCTTTGTTGGTGGCAATGATCTGTGTGATTTTTGTGAAGACATCAACAAACATTCACCAGAACAATATATGGATTATGTACGAGAAACACTCGATGTACTTCATGCAACATTACCAAAAACATTTGTTAATTTGGTTCCAGTCTTGGACGTTCGGTAAGTTAAACGAGAAAAATGGAATGAAATCTATTACTCGATAAAATTTCAACATTTTTCCTTTTAATAGAGGTGTAAAAGATTTGAATTCTGGAGGACCAGTGTGCCAATTATTACACAAGAAAACTTGCCCATGTGCTGCCTTTCCAACGCCAGAACTAGCACGAATTTTGGATTATTATGTTCCCCGTTATCAAGAAATTTTAACAACTTTAGTTTCAAGTGGACGTTACGACACACGACCCGACTTTACTGTTGTTATACAACCATTTTTTACACAAACTAAACTTCCTCGGTTGGATAAACCTGGTCATCCACTTGATTTCAGTTATTTTGCACCCGATTGTTTTCATTTCAGTGGTAAGTGTTTACAGAGAAACCATTGAAAAGTAACGTGTTTCACAAGAAAGCATTTACATTTTAGGGAAAGGTCATTCAGCAGCTGCCTTATCTATCTGGAATAATATGCTTGAACCAGTTGGTGAAAAACAAACTTTTTGGCATGTGGATGAAGAATTGGCATGTCCTACAGATGAACATCCATATTTTTTTACCCAAAAAAATAGTGCAAATGCCACTGGAAGAACAAAAAGAAGTCCAAAACCTGCTATATTTATGTCAACAGCTGCGGGTACGCCACGACAAACAGTAACATCACCCAAAATGTTAACATCTATCGTCTCAAAATCACCATCACATGAAGAAGAACGTTCTAGTTTTGCCACTAAACATCACAATAGTCACCATCATAAGAAAGAAAATCAGAAATCAGAACACTTATCTGACAGTTCGTCAAAATTAATTTACATTGGTGGAATAGTTCTATTTGGTTTGTTCATATTAATTCTTGCATTAGCCGTTCGAAAACGAAAGAATTTCAACTTGTATATTAATGGACAACGTCACGGATTTACAAATACAAAATTTGATGATGATGAAGTCGACATTTGGTCGAAACCATCTGTATCCGAAAAACGGTACCAAAAATAAAATGATTTATCAGGTTAACATTTTGTATATATTTTTTGCTGAGAATTTAATTCAAAACAATTAACATTTTAATAAAAATTAAAACGTTTATTTTTGTAAAAAACGATTTTTACGATTAAAGTATTGGTAATCAAACTGAAAATATAAATCTATGCTATGATAGATAAAATGCGAAGTGAAGCCTTACCGATTGATGTAGGGTGATGGTCAACAAAATACAATAAAAGCACAAAACGAGAAGATAAATTGAAAATGTTTAGAGTGCATTCTGGAGGGCGCAATAGTGTTCATGTGGTGTGTTTCCTATTGTGCATCGTAGAACATTGAATACAAAGACTTGTTGTACCACCTCTAATGAGGGAATCGCCTGGGGTTATAAATCGATTTCAGGTTGAAACTATTTTTGTTAGCAAGGCCCTAACGAGTAGTGACATATCCCAACTTGGTTCATCCACATGGTGCTTTGCTGCTGAGATACTAAACTTTTAGTCAGTTTTTGCCTATAGAGCTTGGATTTCGAGCAAAATCCAACTTTCGAATTTTGACTTCC